AGCATAATATCTGGTCAACATTTGCTAGGTACAAAAAAACATCATTGGCCACTCTTGGTCCATTGTGAGACTTGCCATATATACATGGTTGGTAAGAGCAGCACGTTAATTTGATGGGCATAAGCATTAGTGAGGTGAAAAAATGTGTTCAGGTGTTCTGAAAGAAAAAGTACTTAGTTCTTTCCTCAATACTCAATGCCTTTTTGTTTTGATCGGTTACAACAGTTGATGAAGAATGATGCCCATTGGTTGGCATTTATGATATAGCTTCCGACGTCGGAGGTTCCATAGAATTTGTGAAGAGAAGTACATCAACAGAAAGACCTTTCTTCTGGTAATGCACCCTTTTTTGTTTCATGTATTTATTTAGGATATTCACCATTTGTAATATTATTCATTAGCTATTATGTTCTGATTTGTATTTGTGGCTTTCTCCGGATAATTGTATGTACTGGGAGAGGAGGTTTCCATGACTATCGAGCATTCATCAGTTACAACAGCTGATGAAGAATGGTGCCCTTTGGTTGGCATTTATTCTATAACTTGTGACGTCGGAGGTTCCATAGGATTTGTGAAAAAATTTGCATCAATAGAAAGGTCTTTCTTTCGATAATGCACTCCCTTCTCTGTTGCATATATTTACTCCCTCTGTTTGTTTTAGTCTGCATATAAAGTTTGGTCAAAGTCAAGTTTTGTAAAGTTTGACTAACTTTATATTAAAAATATCAACATTCACAATATGAAACCAATATTACCAGATGTGTCATGAAATATATTTTCATACTATATAGTTTTAGTATTATATATGTTCTTATTTTTTGATATAAATTTGGTCACACTTTGTGTACTTTGACTTTACCAAATCTTATATGTGGAGTAAAAAGAAACGAAGAGAGTACTTTAGGTATTAACCATGGACACATAAATGTAAATTGCTTGTGATCTTCTGCCAATTTTCTGTTAAATAAGTATAACCATCTCTGGTAAATACCAATGAGGAAATTACTTTTAGGATATAAGCAATGAGGAGAGAGTGGCTCTTAGTTTTTACTTTATGAATATCCACATCAATTCTTTGGATGTGGTGCACACAAAATTAGATCTCACCTTTGGTTTGATTTTAAATCGAGAGGAACCAATGGAGCAGTCGATTCATAGGCAAAAGATCTAAGATCAGTTAACTTGATTATCATACTATAGGGAGTTCAAATCCCTTTATATTCCAAAATTAACAAAACTGAGATGTAAAACTTTGTCAGTGTTGAATAATGCATCAAATAACATTTTGGAATCCTTTTGCTTTAATTATGTTATACTTACCAACTTACCTTTCTGAACTAGTATACTCTGTTTCGATAAAACAAGAAAGAAGGAACCGAAGAGGTCCTAATATTTATGGGAAGTGTATCTTATGTTCCTTATTTTGTTTTTTCTTGCTAAAAGGTTCTAATTTGCCTAAAAAGGTCTTGACTTGCTATGTTTGCTTACTGGTTCTTTGTTCCTTTGATTTTGATTTCTCAGTTCCCTCTTTTTTGTTTTTCCTAGGTTCATGTTAGCTGATTGACTGTATGTTGTTTCTTTACAACTTAAAGAAATGCAGTCTAGTCTACAAACAAGTCGATTAAGTGTTCATAGGTTGCTTGCAAGTCCGTAGAGATGCTAACTTGGAAGCAACTATATATGTTACTACTTCTCATCAATCTGAACGGATACTACTTTTTTAGGCTTTTGCACAATAACAGAATTAGCGTTTGGCTGCTATATTTACCCTTGACGTTGGTTCGCCTATATAAGTCACTTGCTTAGCTACTTCAAACCTGCTTCTAAAAGATGGGAGTTTTATTGTCGCCACAAGTAAATTTGCTTGCCTTCTTCTAGCTTCTTTCTTGGTTTATCCAACTATTTTGCATTTAATCATCAGTTTCTGGCATTGCAAACTTGATTGATTTCATATGACTTCCCGTTTCATGGCTTCAAACTTGCTTCTAAAGGATGAAAGTTCTATTGCTGCCACAAGTAAAATTGCTTGCATTCGGCTCCTTACCTGGTTTATCCAACTATTTTGCAATCAATGTTGGTTGCTGATATTGCAAAGTTGCTTAATCTATCTTGCTGAGAATTTCTAGTTGCTAGAAGTTAGCTTCTCTATACAGTCTGATATCGCTGATCTCAAATGAATCTTTATTTATTTCTTGTTTTAATTAGTGCACCAATTTTATTTTTCCCCGCAATGGTTTTGAAGATATATAGCTGTGGCGCAGACGGCAACCAACTTCAACCAGCTTCAGAGTACTCTGCTACCCTATTTCTCCTTGTCGCTGCCTACTCGGCTTCGTTTGGCATTATTTCCATAGGTATAAGGGTTTCAGTAATGTCAGCTCATGCAAGTCAGCATTTTGTTAATGTGAGAAAGTGAAGAGAAAATTGAAGCATCAAATTAATAATGAAGTGTTTTTATGAGAATTGAAACCTTCCACTTTCAATGTAGGAGATTAGTATGAAATGCGAGTGTTTTATAGAGAAATTTAGTTCATATGAAGCAAATAAAATGCATGCAACACCTCACATTTAGATTGTGATTATTAGATACTCAAAACCTGGTAAAGAATATATTTCAAGAATATATTCATGACCAAATGTTTGACATGACCCCATTATCTATGAAAGAAAATTCTAGCAGTGAAGCCATATTGTAGATTGAAGAACTTCAGGATGACAGGGTTTTATGCCTTTTATTGTATAATATATCTAAGGAAGCCATATTGTAGAACATATTTATGGACTTCCTTGCTCCTATCTTCATGTAGTGTGACCTTTTTACTTCAGTCTGCAAAAGTTTGTGTAAACTGTATTCTTTAAGTTATCTCTAAGTGAACATTGTTTACCCATTACATTGTTATTTTCAGTTCATTTGTTTATTATCGTCATACAATATAATTCAGAGAACACTAGTGTGTTTGTTTACTGAGAGAAAACACTTGATAGCCGGAAGAAGCAATTCATAGATAGGGTGAACCTTGCATATATACATGAAAAGAAAATCTTGTGGTGGTTCTCAGTTTTCCTTTATTGGGTTTGCACGTGAATCCTACATCTTTGCAGTTTCTTTTTAAGTCCCGTGTCTATTCATCGACCAATTTATATTAGGGGTCTGCCTTTGTGTTGTGTAATAGTGTCTGCTACACATGTTTTTCTGAATTACTATACTCTATCAAGGTAAGAACCTTTTGTGCTTTTTTGTTGTCGATTTGGTCTTAGCCGGAATAGTATTGTGCTTAAATTTTGTTGTTGTTCTGATCTTCTATTCCGCTATTTAGTTTCTTCCCTTTGCTTCTGCCTCTTTTTGATTTTTTTTCCTTTGCCTATCTTGGTAGTTTCTTCGGCGTTCTCTTCTTGGATTTAGTTTCCCTCTTTCTCTTCCTTTTTTCACTATTCTTTGCCTTCTCTTCACCTTATTGGTAGTGTCCGTTGTTTTGCAGGTACTTATCGATGTAGATTGGGCATGGACTGTTGCCTCACATTTCTTTCAAGCAGTCACGACTTTGGCTGGTTGGAGGTTTCTTGTCTGCTCAGGTAACTAATTTACTCTCGATTTTTTTTCTGATTTGGTTAGATACTTTGCACATAATGTTCAGTGTCACTTGGGTTCATAACTTTGGATAAACCCAACCTGCTCTGAAAGTTGTACATTGATATGGACTACCTATTGTTGAGACACGCTGAAATTAAATAAGTTATCATTTATCATTTATTAGTATGGGCTTGCTCCCCCTAAATGATATATATTGAATGCCCTCTCTCTTGATTTTTCTACCTCTATTTATTTTCTACCAACTTCATTGAGATTAGAGATATAATATGTTTTCTACTTCTAATTACTTTTCTACTGGCTTCACTTAAATTAGAGATAAAATGTTTGGTCTTTTGGTAATTAAGAAAATTGGTAGATAACCTTGGCCCATGAGTGACGCGGCTCATTTAACCCAGAGAAGTGGAAGGCTTTAACTTAAGACGGTCTATAGAACCTGCATAAACTGCCTTCTCCTATCCTCTCACAACGCCTCATCAGATTTGAGGAGAAGGCCCATGGGATAATGAGCTCGGCGATATGGCTCTAATCCATTTATCATGAGAGTAGCCGTCACTTGCCTAATTTTATTTTCTAATTCTTTTGAGAATCCTCAGTGTAAAATCACATCCTTCCACTAACAAAATAATGATTG